ACATAGAAATGATTAGAAGAGGAGAGAGGATCCTTGATCTTTTTCCAAAGGGGGTTTAAAGGTTTAGGTGAGGGTTGGGTAAAGATGGGTGGGCGGGGGGGGATTAGCAACTGGGGAGGAGCTAGCTGGAGGAGAAGGCTTCTTCTGGATAGGGCGGTACTCTTTGCGAGGGGGGGCCTTCGCATTAGTCATTTTAGAGGCAGTTATGTTCTTTTAGAATTCTTACCTTTGATGGTTTGGAAACCATCCTTATCAGTAGTAGGCGCAAGTTTAGCAATAACATTCTAATTACTGGTTTTTACAACAATACTATTCATTTGAGGATTAGCATGAGAGCATATAGTATCAGAATGACCAAACACCAAGCAGTGTGAACACATAGAGGGCTTCCATTCATATTCCACACAAAGAGAGTGCAGAGTCATTTTAAGGGAATCAGGATTTGGGATACGTACGTACCTTAACAACATCAATCCAGCTTTTTCTAACCATAACTTCAAGTAAAACCCTAGCAAAGGTAGACTTTCCTGCAGCATATTTGCACTTATTTGCGGTCCAAGAGTCTATAGCTAGGGGCTTACCAATTTTGCTAGCGATATAGCTTAGACCCTCATCATTCCACACATCATAACGAATATCATGAATTTTAATTCACAGAGGAATACTATCATGCATGTTAGAATTAAGATCAAGACCAGGTCTCCATTTTTGAAGAAAAATAGGAACATTTTTAAGCTTTTAATCATCACTTATATATATATATATATATATATATATATATATAGGGGCCTAATCAAATGAGAACTAATTAGTTTATGGTAACCATGAGGTCCAATACGAGTCAATCATTTTATGATATTAATTGTATTACTTTAATTAATAGGTAAATGGCGTTTTACTAAAATGATTTAATTATAATTTAAATATTTTTCTTATTTAATAGTTATCAAATTCGGTTTCCTTAATTATCTCAACAAAATTGTATCACAGTCGTGTATCACATTGTAGTTGTGTGTGGTGCCTAAAACTCAGATCATATTTATCATCAACTCATGTTCAAAACGTTTTCACAGTGGTATCACACTGTGTAACACAATTGGTTTTGTGTCTTATTGTTATAAATTCTTGGGTATCACAGCGTATATCATATTTGTTTTGTATTTTATTGTTAGAAATTCTTGATGAGAGAGAGAGAGAGGAGGAGAGAGGAGAGACATTTAAAAAAGACTAATTTACCCCTATATATTATCAGTAAATTTAAATTATTTGAAAATTAATGAATAATTACCAAAATTAATATGTTTAATAATAACCATTGATTATTAATAATGTGTGGTTGAGATTAGATCTTATAGTTATCACAAACAATCGAGTTATTCCTTGATTGGACCCATATATATATATATATATAGAGAGAGAGAGAGAGAGAGAGAGAGTTTGTTTCAAATACAACCTATCGTATTTGTACAACCAATGCAACCCAATAAATTGAAATATTTATGGAAATGATGAGAGTTCATTTATTATGATTTAAATATTTATAGAATATGAATACGGTTCATTAATTATAATTAATATTTTATATTAGGAAATAATCAAAACTTTTATAAATTACATATTCGTCAAATTAAATGGACGGTTGAGATTGAGTTGTATTGGTTGTACAAATGTAAGAGGTTGTATAATAATCCACCTCTCTCTATATATATATATATATAGAGAGAGAGAGAGAGAGAGAGAGAAAGAGAGAGAGATAGATGTGGGTTATTATACAATCTTTTGCATTTGTACAACCAATACAACCCAATTTCAACCGTCCATTTAACTTGATGAATATGTTATTTCATAGAAGTTTTGATTGTTTCCTAATATAAAGTATTGATCATAATTAATGAATCTTATTCATCTTAGATAAATATTCAAATCATAATAAATGAACTCCCATCATTTCTATTAATATCTCAATTAATTGGGTTGCATTGGTTATACAAATGGACATGGTTGTATTTGAAATATACCCTATATATATATATATATATATATATATATATGATCCGGTTAGACATTTTATAATTCAAACTGTTACTTTATTTATTTATTTATTTTCATAGCCTTTTTATCCCTTAAATCCCTGTTATTCGCTTATCTCTCTACCACGCCTCCATCTCTTACCGGTTCTTATCTCTGCCTCCGCCTCAAATCCAAATCCATCGTCCCATATTTTTTCCCCATACTCTGCCTCAACCTCATCCCTCTTCCTTTTCTTCTTCTTCTTCTCATCAATAATTTCAGTCTTTAAAACCCCCATCTTTTTCTTCAGTCATTTTCTCATGCATCCTTCTTCTGTACCTCTTAAATCCACTTATGTTGATTCCCAATAAGGTAGGTAAGAACGGTGACTTTTGTTATTAAGCGTTTATCCGATAAACATTAAAATGTATTCCAAGGAGTACACTCCCAAGGTAGTTCTAATGATCTCACTGATATGAAATAACAAAAAGCTAAAATTGAAAAAAGTTTTTGGAGATTCCGAGACCGCCATGCGGCAGGTGATAAATAAGAAAATTTGTGTTTTCAACATTCACAACAATCGCTACCATTTCATCTCCATGGCAAGAAATTGAGAGAAATAGATGAAATGGGGTTGAATCCGATCCTCCAACCCATTCAGGCTCCCTATTGGATCATTGGATTTGGGGTCAAAGACGCCATACCCACCAGGAGTACTCATGGGTTGGGTTGATCGGCTTGAAGACATTTGAACAATCCAACCCAATGCTTGCGATTTGAAAGATCTTAACTCAACCCAAACCAAAGTGCAACTCAACCCAACCTAAACCGTATGCGTTGATCGGGTTAGTCGGGTTGATACTTTGGTACATTAAAATATTGTTCTAACCTTAAATATGTTATTTCTCTACTCATAATTTATTTTTTCATCATCAACCATTTGATACAACTTATACATACTTTTTAAATCTTACGTATATCACATTCAATTAATTTTTTCAATTTACATATATATGTTTACAATTACTGAACATATTTACGAATGAGTTATATAGAGATGAGAGAATTGATTGAAAATATGTATATATAAAGGGGGTACACAATAATGTAATTATATGATTTATAAATTAATAGAAAATCAACAATAATATTAAGGGCAAAATGCACAAAATAGCAATCTACTTTTATATTTTTTTTTATTATTGCATTGTACTTCCAGTTTTTCTTATTACATCAATGTACTTTCAAACTATTTTTTATTAGAACATTGTACCTTGAAAATTTTACCCATTATAACATTGGGTAACCTTTTGATTAAAATTTACCCATTGTACCAGGTTTCCATGCCACCTTATTATCAACGTAGGTTGTCCACATGTACTATAGTGACGTGACTTTCTTATTACAACATTATACTTTCAAAATTATTTTATTATAACATCTACTAGTTCTTATTAAACAATGTACTTTTAATTTTAATATTTAGATATTTTATATGTTATTTAATAAATATATTAAATAAATTAAAAAAATTCTAAATTATTCATTAA